TCGGCTCCGCCACCACAGCTGCCTTCTCACCCGCAGTACTCGGCCCCGCCTGTACAGACCTTTGTCACGCCGGCCATGTGGCAGGAGTCGGTGGCTAGCGTCTATGAGTCCGGTGGTCTCAAGAGACATTGGGATTATGATAGTGGCGCCGCCTCCATTGCCGAGACTATGAATAAGCGCCGTTAAGCTGTGGTTGGGACAGGCTTTGTTGCCGGGTCCCGCCGCATATATACCAATTTAGGGGAAATGAATGTGATGTTCTACTTCGTCGGTATGGATTTATGATTCAGCTGGCTCGACTTTGCCGATTTATATATAGGGACGCGATGTGGGAGGCAAATTCGCATTCCACTGATATCTTGTACAACAAGGATGGGATATATGGACTTGGGAAATTTTGTCACTTTTTTTTTTTTTTTGGTGGATGCGGCGGCGTGCTGGATCTGGCATAAAATAGGGGTCATGGGATTTGGATCTATTCATCTCGCATTTCAATATCTACGTCCTAGTCATTTGTTTCGGTGGAATTTTGGGGGATGAGATGGAGGTGGTGATGGACAGAGGAGGATGGCGAAGAGAGAAGTGAAATCAAGACGGTTTAAGGATGCGGATGAGGATGAGGATGTGTGTATGTATGCTGTATGCTGTACGATATACAATATACACAATGGGATGAGATGAAATGAGAGTTACTATAGTGATTTTTGCTTGCTCCCACGCTTTGTGAATTTTTATATTTGCTTTGTTTTGCTGTCTTGTTTATCCAACGCTACTAGTATATTTTTGTATTTTGGCCTGCTTTGATTCCCGGCTTTGGTAGGCTCCGGTGTTTCTTGGTGTGCTATGTTGTATTAGGTTTTAGTATGTATGTTTTAATAATTACATCTTGATCCACCTGGGCAAGTGGTTAAACTGCGTACCATCAATAGCTACACTTCTGGGAGACAGTAGAGCGGCGGGCGACAACAGAAGCACAGACCATACTCTACGAGACAGTAGAAAAGACACATAGACTACAGACCGTAGACCATAAAACTACAGAGGTACAAACTACAGCTTAAAAACAGAAAGGGTACGTCCCACAGAGCATACGATAAAAAATAGTACAGCCGTTACAATAGCACTTCAGTACAAAGAGCGGAACACCTAAGTGTATTACGTTTAGTAGGTTATTATAGTCCTCTTAACAATGTAATAGTTATGATGTGTTACCGAAGTTCACGTCCGGGTAACTAACTGGTGTAGGGTAATTAGAGAGTAGGTTCGATTCCTATCCATTGGTGCGTAATTTGGTGCGGCTATACCTATAATACGTTAGTTAAACGTTGGAAAAACTATTCGTTGGGGATATAGGTATGTTAAAGCCCATAATACGAAAAACTCTCAACCTCCACCGATAGTTACATCTTGATATTCACAAAAAAAACGTTCGGAATATTCGCGGCTCGGGCCGAACTTCTTGGGGCCTCGGAGACGGAGTTCGGCCGATTCCTTGGTTGGTTAGAGATGGTTCTTCATTCGTTGGGGACAGGCAGACGTGAGATGTGGTATTGGAGACTAATTTGGTTGGTAGGTAGGGAGGTAGGTAGGGAGATGATGGGGGTCGTTTGGGGGGTTTTGGATGGAGTGGTGGGTTACATACATAGATTGACGATGGCATGTTCTTGCTTTGTTTTGGAGGGTTATGGTTGTTTTTTGTTTTTTTTTCAATGGTTAGGTTTCGGAATTTGAGGGGATTAGTGGTTGATGGGATGGGACGGGTTGCTTGCTAGCTAGGTTGGTTGGTTGGTTTGGATTAGCTGGCTTGCGTACTTATTTGCCTTCTTTATTCCCTTTCTGTCTTTTCTAATTGGTTTATTTAGATCGTACCTACTTATTGAAAGTTATGGATATAAGCTACCTGGGGTGTGTATTTGAGTTGTTCGAAAATATTACTATTAACAATTATGTGGTGTACCTTCCCATTGATTTCCGCGGAATCAGGCATTGATACTGGACTTAAAGGATTTTATACCAGTGACTCTATTCCTTAATTCTAGAAGAGGTAGTGGCACTCGGTACTACGAACTTGCTACAGTATTAATTAGGGTCTAGTTGGCTTGGGTTTTCACGGACTTGTTCATGGAAGGGGTGAGGAGGCCAGGTAACACGTTAAGGATATGTCCTAAATTTTTTTTGTCCCCGCCATTTTATTTGATTTAGGATTGAAAATAATTACTGGATTGGTTGGTCACTATTCGGCTAGTTATAAAATTAGGTTGGGAGCGTTGTGGGAAGAGTTGAAGACTGATAGAATGATGGACGGTAGTATCGGTGAGGGTGTTGTGTTTTTATTTTTAGCACACGAACCCTTTTTCCCCTTTCTTAAGGCTTGAGTAATTGGAGTGGTGTAGTAAGGTGTAGCGTAGCAAGAAAAAGATAGCTGGTAGGTATATGCATAGACGTGGTTCTATATGCCTATCGTCGTATACATAGTCGTATACATGGTCGTATATAATATTTGTGATTGTATGGATGTGGTGTCATGTATATAGTTGTATTCATTGGACAAGTAGCGTTTTATTCTCCACAGATACGTGGCCTATGACTGGACACATACTGGGCGCAGTCGGCGGAAAGGTTGGTGATGTTTTGTTCAACTGCGGAAATGAACCGAACTGAATTCATCTGCAATAGAGTCGGAACTGCAACTGAACGGAACAAACGAAGGCCGGATGTGCCATTTCTCGCCTGGACCCGGTTTCCATCGGTGGAGATATCGACGACAATGGTGTCAATTGCATCATCGCCGTCTCTGTTGGCGAGTCAGTGGCATAGACGGCCTGCCTTTCTGGAACGTGTTGGGTGTGTCATGGTGGTCGTCAGGCCGCTTTGAGATATGGACGTCGGGGGGCTTCCGGGACGTAGGTAGGCTTCGCTTCGCTTAACAGCTGGCGGATTGGGTGGGTGGGTAGGTAGATGGGCAAGAGGTAGATGTCTAGTTACTATGTGTCGGCATTCTATATCGGCATACAACAGTATGTACTGTATGTATGTATGTATGTATGTATGTATGTACTTATGTATGCAAGTATGTTGGTGGATAGGTTGGTATGCGTCGGAATGTGCATGCATGCGTCAGCTAGGTTACTTGACGTCGTACCGAGTGCCTGGCATGACGATTTTCATTGTTTACGACCTTCCTTACTTGGATACCTACTTAACTCACCTGCGGTTGTCTGATTGGTGGTGGGAGATAGTGTCGTGATTGGTTTACCTTGAGATGTTGTTGGATCTGATTAGACATTTGAGGGCCAACTATGCTATATGTATGTACGTGGATATGCGGGGGGCGTTGGTCGTGCTGTGCATTCGTCCTTATCTCCTGCGCGATGGGTCGTGCGTACTACAGATATATTGGGGGAGTCCCTGTGAGATAATGATGGGTATGCCTTGGCGGGTGGTGATGTCTCTTCGCAATGTATACCAAATTTGATCAAGCGAGAGGCGTGATGCCTCCGTGGCTCGTCGAAAACGGAGTGGCGAAGCCGAAAAGAGAAAGTCCGTCTGCTATTCACCAAGAATGTCATCTGCGTGATATTACACTAAGCAGTGGTGGTAGAGGGGGAATTCGTTGCATGGGACGGGAAAGAGGAATAGATAGATAGGTCGTAGGAGTAAGTCGGTATGTGAGCTGTCGTTTAGCTCGAGATAGCAGCAAAAGAACGTCTAGAAGCCTTCCTATCTGGGACGATGGCGACGGGGCGACATATCATGATACCATCCAACCCACCCATCAACGCAGCAGCTAAGTAAGTAGCAGCTAGCCGCACTTTGCGTCGCACCACGGCACGCATCGGTGTGTGGGGTGGTGTACTGTACCTACAGTGCCTACGGGTGTGGGCTGTACTTACATGCAGTGTGTGTTTCCGATAGACGACGGTGGTGTGTGTGGTGTATGTATGCTTGTAAGAGGTACCTGACTCGGAGCCGTGACGACGTCGCTTTTGGGGCTCAAATCACGGGGCGAGGTGTTTGCTGTAGGTAGGTTACCATTGATCCCTTGCTCAACCAGAGATCTCGACTTGCTGGTTCGCTCGGGACGAGAGGCACGGCCGGGGTGTTCGTAAACTATATCGACATGGGACGGGGGACATGATGCGGCAGGCATGGAGGGGTCGAGTACAAGCATGCATACTTTTAGCAGTTATGGCGATGGCGTGGCCTGACCTTCTCTGTCTCGCTTGGACGCCTGTTTTACTGGTTTCTCGGCTTGCGTGGTAAAGGGCATGCTTCTCCTGTACTATGTATGTAGCTTGGCTTGGGTGTGGTGTGGTGTGGGGTGGTGCGGCGCTGCATTGCATGCATGACGCTTCTGGACGCGGATACTAAGGTACCTGCCTACAGTGGTAATGGCCATATCTGGCGGGACTCGGGGTTTGGGGTAAACTGCATACTCCAGCCGGCCTGCTACATGTATGGAAACGTCTGGAAGGCGTGACAGTGTCGTGTTGTTTGTGATTACGTCTGTGTGCCCATCTATTCGTTGTTACTGTCTACCTATGCATAAGTGTGTATGTTGTCTAGATAGTACCGAGGTAGTCTGCAGGGGCATAAGAGAAGCATTGTGAGCTTGACTCGGGTAGGGCTTGGCATGGTATTGTTGTAAGTGATTTTAATATGTTTGAGTTGCTTGTGATAGTCCATGTTTCGCATGGCCAAAAGTGAAACAATTCCAAGCGGTGTTGGTGTTATATCGCCGCTTACTTCTAGTGTAAAGAGACCGTACAAGTGATGGTGGTGTTTACGTTGTACCGTAGTTAAAAAGAGTAAAGCCTTGTAATATTTATAAGATATTAAGTATTATTTATTACCTCATGCTTGGTTTATAAGATATAGGGCCACGAATTTATATTGTACTGTATATTTTAACTGAACTTCCTTGAAAAGAGATATGGGCGTTATAATACGTCTTAAGATGAATTACGAACACATCGAATTGGATACGATGTCTACCATCATCTCGATTGGTCTAGTGGTCAGGATACCTGCTTGTCATGACACAATTCGCAGGTGGCCGGGGTTCGATTCCCCGATCGAGAGTTCCTTTTTCTCATTTTCGTCACACGATGATGATTTTTAATACTTCGGTTCCCGTACATACAATACCTACTCTACTACCTGGATTATGTATATCCATTTTTTGGCCATGCGAGAATCTCTTTCAAATATGTGGACTTTCTCACCTATCCATCGTAAGAGTGTAGGCACACGCAACCAATGCCCAGAGACCCAACTTGGCATCCCCCGCATCAAAGCAGGAAACGTGGTGTGAAGGCTCCCACACCCGCGGACCTCACTTCCGAACTCCCGATCGGATGTGTCCACCGAACTAGACCAGACCGGGATACCTCTGGTAGAGACATGCATAGGAGTTGATGAAAGATAGAGCATGAGACATCATGATGGACGTTATAAAATAGGCCTGAGTCGGTGGTTATGCAATGGATTTCGTTTCGTATAACACATTTTCTAATAATTCGGTCGAAGGAGGGTCGGGCCACCACCGGCGCGTCCGGGATGAACGCACACAGAGATGAGGGTGGGGTGACGGTTCTCTCTCCCGGCCGGCCATCCGGAACGGAGCCTTGCCATCCGCAAGGAGTCGTCAGGTGCCGTGGAGGTGTTATATAAGCGCTACACTATGTCCATCACCTCGAAGGCCCTTCAGCGTGTATTTAGCAGACAAGACCGGATAGCCTAAATACAGGCTGGTATTTAGACAGCCCGTCATTACTATGCGTCTCCTAAACTCCCTCCTCCTGCTCAGCGGGCTCGGGCTCGCGGCTGGCGCCTCGCTGCAGCAAGTGACAAACTTCGGCGCCAACACCTCGGGCACCAAGATGTACATCTACGTGCCCGACAAAATAGCCACAAAGCCGGCCGTTATTGTTGCTATCCACTACTGCTCTGGTACCGCGTCCGCGTATTACACTAACACGCCGTACGCCACCCTCGCGGAAAAATATGGGTTTGTTGTCATCTACCCGGAGTCACCGTATAGCGGCACCTGCTGGGATGTCTCGTCCAAGGAGGCCCTTACGCATAACGGCGGCGCTGATAGTAATTCCATCGCCAATATGGTGGCGTATACCCTAGATAAGTGTAAGTGGTTCTCTGGGTTGATGTGTTTTTGCTCTGGCGGGGTTGGGGGTGTTAAGATTCATTTTTGGGTCAGAGTCGTGTCTTGGAAGCTCTCGCGGATCTGACACGCTTATATACCATGCTGGAGGTAGCAATAACTGACTCCGAGTGTTGCAGACAACGGGGACAAATCCCGGGTGTTCGTTACCGGGACTTCCTCTGGCGCTATGATGACGGTGGGTTATCCGTCTTCTCATCCATCCCAGTTATAACCCTTACCACCTTCTCACTACCACTAACACCATCCAGAATGTCCTGGCAGCCACGTACCCCGACGTGTTCGCCGCAGGCATCGCATACGCCGGTGTGCCCGCCACCTGCTTCTACACGGGCACCGTCAACGGGTGGAACAGCACGTGCTCGCAAGGCCAGCTGAATCTCAGCCAAGAGTACTGGGCCAACGCGGCGCTGAACGCATACCCCGGGTATACCGGCGCCAGACCGCGCATGCGGATTCACCACGGCACGGCGGATACCACGCTCTACCCGCAGAATTACTACGAGACGATTAAGCAGTGGACTGGTGTCTTTGGATACTCGACTACACCCTCTGCTACGTATCCTAACACGCCCAGAAGTCCGTATACACGCTATGTTTTCGGACCCAATGTTGAGGGCGTTTTGGGCCAGGTGAGTTCGGATTGTCTCTTAGTTTTTGCTTCTGGGCCTGGCTTGGCATCAACGTAGTATATGGGGCCCGGGTGCTGACCCAGAGGTATTAGGGCGTAACTCATAGTATTGATATCTTCGGCGATGCTGATATGGAGTGGTTCGGGTTTACGGTAAGTTTTTTTTGACTGTGATGTATCGCCATCGAATAAATGGCAATGGACCTGAGTGACTGACTGACGTTCGTAGGGCTCGAGTACCACGACTACGGCAAGTGGTCCGACTTCTACCCTGACGACCACTAAAAGTGCGACGGCTACACCGACAACTGGGGCTGGGGGAGCACAATATGCCCAGTGTGGCGGCATTGGATGGATGGGCGTGACCACGGTACGTCCTCAGTGGCTGTCATGACTCTTGAAGAAGCTAACCAGACTGCTCTTCCAGTGCGCGAGCCCGTACACATGCAAGAAACTGAACGACTGTAAGTAGGTCCCTGTCTTTTGGGGTTTCCGCCCGGCTGATACAGGGTCAGACTATTATCAATGCCTTTGATGCAGCGATGGAGTTTAATGAGGGTTTCCGACATGTGAGAGCCAGTGTCTAGTGGAGTGCATTGTGAAATTCGCTCAATTTGCGTGTAACCTCTTGGAAAGGGTGTAGATATGGTGTTGCGCTATAACAGTGACGGGGCGGTAGTGATAAGAGTATCGAGCATAAAGGAATCTAATACACTCGTCAATGGACGTATATAACTGATATTGCTCACTATATCTTGAATATGGCCAGGGCCATCCATAGGCAGCGGTAAGGGGTATATTCCGATGTATAGGTGCGCCTATTATGTAGGAATTACTCTTTATCTGCTGTATCTGCCGTTTGAAATCTTGATACGGGCAACTGTGCTGTGAAAACGTGCTCAAGAATTTCGAGTAGACACACCCGAAGATCGTGACAATGTAGCTGGATTTGAAGCCTGTACGGTTCGGACATTTCGGAAAAGACGAAGAAGATGCTTCTGATTCACCCTTAAGCGCTTGGACTTGCCACCCCACGAGCCGCCAACACATGGAAGTTTGTGCTGGGAGGAAAACTTCCGGTGACACTCACACCAGAATTTATAATGATCCGCGCTAGAAATATACAACAAGACCTTCGGAATACCCGGGTCGGAGATGAAGTCTAGGAAGGTCTGAAAGGGTTGGGTGGCGAGAAAAGCCGGGCCCGAGTAGTCGATGTTGGTCTCGGGACCGACGAGCAGGGGCACCTCGGTCTCGCAGAATTCTTCGTCGTCAGACCAGTGATCCGTCCAGAAATCCAGGCGAGGAAACCTGCCATTGATCTCCAGGCGTAAGGTGTGGAGGCTGCCTTGGTCTGCCATTTCGCGCAAGAGAGGTACATAGAACTCGTTAAAGGAGCGAATGTTGTTTTTCGGGTAGATCTTGAGCTCCATGGTCCGGACGTGAAGTCTCGGCGATAGGGGAGTGATTGGCCCGGCTAATAGGCCGGGAGGCTCGGTACGGTCCGTGAGATCCAACCAGATGTGGTGGTAGAAGATCTCGGCGGCCTCTGCGTACAGCCTCTGGGAGACCAGGAATATCTGCAGAACTTGGACCTGTTCCTCGCAATCACGAAGGGCCAAATTGAAGATTTGGGCTCGCAGCTCGGGCGGGAGGTCAAACAGACGGAAGGGCCCCCTGGGTTTCCATCTCGTTGCGGATGATGGTCCGTGGGATGGCTTGGGCCTCAAAGCGATGGACTTGCTACCGAAAGACCCTCTTTGAATGAACCATCTGTCCGTATCCGGATCCATATCCTTCGCAGAACAACGTCTACGTGTACCACAGCCACTGCCAGACACAGGATGAGAACCACTCACTCCCCAGCCCCAATATGGGAGAGAATAGCTCACTTGAGCACCGTAGGTAGGTATTAAGGGGGCAGGGAATACACGTAACAACCAACGACTCGTGGGGACAATATACGTAAAAAGATGGGTTATTTTCAAACCGACTGTCGCAGAATGAAGACTGATATGTATCCGACAACCTCGGGCTGTTAGAGTAGGTCAATTGCACAATGCGATACTCCGTAGGTATGTGATTATCATATGGAAGTCATCAGGGTGAAAGGCGGTGGAGCGTAGTCCAACTCATGTCTCGAACAAGCCGGCCGGGGAAGGTGAGATGGCTCCACTGTATTACCTCCTAATCCATGCTCGTGGCTGCCCATCTCGCTTGGTAAATTGTTTATAGTGGACGCTACGCCACGCCGCGCCCCGGACGCCTGCACAGGCCTGGACTGGACCCCCCGAACAGGACCCGGATGTGAACGAGACCTCGACCACAATCTTAAGGTTCAATACAAGTAGACACGTCTACCAAGTCGCTCTTTTCTCCCCACCTTCTCTCGCTATTATTCCTCGACGACAACTACCCGTTGCTGTCGCCCACTTCCGTTCCTCATGTTACGATAATTGGATCATACAGCTTGCAGGCACCGTTGCCTGCGCAAGGCATCCACAGTCACTCACCATGGGCGCCTTTTCATTCCTCGGCAACGTCTACGGCCTGGACACCCTCGACACTCGCTTCACCGTCTCGTCCGCCACTCCCTACAAGACCGTCGTAGAGGCGCGTAATGACACGGCCGCTGCAAGCAAGGAACGGGCGGCGAAATGGAATAGCCGGCCACAGTCGGAATCCAGGTGGAACACGCCCGAGTTCTACCTGTACTATGTCGTCTTCGCATTCGCCATCCCCGCCATGTTCCGGATCGCATACAATGCCTCGAAAAGTACGACTTGACCCTGCGCCTATTCGACTCTAACCCTCGATGTTTTTCCCGCCCACTGACCGTCTGTCTCGCTGCAGCTACGCATCCCAACTACCGCAACTATGAGCATTCCCTGTCGCCTGGCTGGATCCCCGGCCGCAAGATTGTAAGGCACCATTGCGCCGAGCTGTGATGCATGCGCCTACTGACGAGTCCAAGGATGTCACCGATGCGCAGTATCGCACCTTTCGAAATAACATGCCCTATCTCGCCGCCCTGCTCGTCCTCCACCCCCTGCTCCGGAAATCGTATAATCTAGTCATATACCGCGTCAACTCGGGTGGTCAGACGTCGCGACCAACGTTGGAAGAGGCTGATCAGAGGCTGAATCAACGGGCGTCCTTCGATTTTGGCTTTGCCATCATATACCTGCTTGCTCTACACGGCGTCTCGGTCTTTAAAATCCTCGGCATCCTCTATCTGAACTACCAGGTTGCGACCACTCTGCCCCGCAA